TTCTGCCTGCATCTTTACAGCAATGGCAGCATTCATATTAAGCCATGCAAGTAGTTTTGCTTTTCACAGTTCACAGTAGTACAGCGGTCTAGTGGAGAATGACTCCCATAAGAGTATTTTTAATGCTGTTAATACAGGATTTAAAAAGAGTTATCTTTGACCCGATGATAACATCAATCAGTGGAAAATAAAAACAGAAAAAGAAAAAGGGAACGTATCTAAATATCTTATCATTGCAGTTTGATGTATCAGAAAGTCTGAAGCTTTTAATGTGGGTGGTCAGGCTCTAAGGATTAACAGCCTTTCTTAGAAATCCCTCAATGCTAAAGGAAAATCTGGTCTCATTAATAAAAAAGCTGTAAGAGGCATTTTTTTCTTAATCCTAACAATAAGAACAAAATACAACAACAACACAACCAAAAATCCATCCCTTCCAAAACCAAACCAAAAAAAAATTTGACAAGAAAAACAAACTAACCAAAAAAAAAAACAACCAAAAACCCCAATCCGAACACCAAAAATAAATGAACAACCCCACAAACCTGACAGGCTCTTTTTACCTTAAGACTTAATTTTGCCGTAAGATTTGAAAATATGTTTACATTTCTGAAAAAGTCAACTTACTTCGTAATTTGCCATTAGATGAAGAAAATTACATCATCTCAAATTTAGGTGGAAGGATCCACCCAAGGGCCCAACTAAATGGTGAAACTCACTTAGTACCATCTAAGTAATGGAAATCACAGAAATCACAGAATGGTTTGGGTTGGAAAGGACCTTAAAGCCCACCAAGTCCCAACCCCCTGCCATGGGCAGGGACAACTCCCACCAGACCAGGCTGCCTAACTGGCCTTGAACACCTCCAGGGATGGGGCATCCACAGATCCTCTGGGCAACCTGTGCCAGTGCCTCACCACCCTCTGAGGGAAGAATTTCTTCCTTGTATCTAATCTAAACCTACTCTCTTGTAATTTAAAACTATTCCCCCTTGTCCTATCACTGCACCCCCTGACAGAGTCCCTCCCCAGCTTTCCTGTAGCCCTCTTTAGGTACTGGAAGGCTGCTGTGAGGTCTCCCTGGAGCCTTCTCCTCTCCAGGCTGAACACCTCCAGCTCCCTCAGCCTGTCTTCACAGGAGAGGTGCTCCAGCCCTCTGATCATCCTTGTGGCCTCCTCCAGACTTGCTCTAATGTATCTTCAGCAGAAAAGCAGAGATTTCTTACATAAAAGTAATACATATCAAAATTTCAAGATTTCAGCAGGAAACCAAACTCAACCATTTTCTCAAGGTGACAGGTACCAGGGAAAAGCTTGAAGGGAGTGTTTTAACAGCTTTTTTCCCCGTTTGTCTCCCCACAATCCAAGCTCGTCTCATTTGTTTTTTTTTGAGGTTGACAAAAAAGCAGTAGTTATATAGGCAGAAGAAACGCATTCCTTACCTTTGCAGATTTCCTGCAGTGACACCAAAGAATGGATCTAAGCAACTTCCAAACACAGTAATGTCAAACAAATCATTTGTGTCAGCAATCTTCAGGGACAATCTATATCTGTACCCTGCATCTTTAACTTCACCTGTGCAGCCACACTTTGGACAGTTAAACCTGACAAGACAGGAAAATAATAAAAACCAAATTGAACACATGAACTTCACTGCGGAGCTAAGAACTTATCTGCAGTTTAAATGCCACTAGAATAATGCATTTAATATTCCATTGCAAATTATAAGATTATTTCTTGGTCTTTACCCCCTGAGGCATGAATATTAACATAAGCTCAGCAAGGGGCCTGTATCACTCTGGCTTCCTTGGTAGGTGGATTAAATGCTAGTCTGTTGTCAAGCTGGAGAGACACAGCGGGCTTTGAATGACCTTTGGGGGATTCTGAACTCCTTGGCACCTCTGTCTGTTTGCGTTTTGCTGTCTTCTGGGATTTTTTTTTCTGAAGTTTAGTATAAAACCTAGATTAAAAAAAACATCAGGAAACAGCACTGTTGTATCTTTGACTTCAGCATGTCAAACAGCAGATATCCTTCCTTCGCAAAGCCAGCTCCTTCCATTCTGTGCTGATACTCATTGATTTGTTGTTCTTTTATGTGTCACCTGTTTGACATTAACAGTGGGAGGAAAAAAAGGAAAGCTCATCTCTACCTGGACACACAGCAAGTGGAAGAATCATACTGAATTACATCATGCATTGAACACACAGAATAAGAAGAAATAATGCATTCTAACTTCAGAACAGCACCAAAGAATCGAAGTGCAATGGATGCAGGTGGAAGATGTTAACACACATCTGCATTCTCCTGAACAGTCCTTTGACTTCACGTGGCACAATATAACTCTTGATTCTTAATGATCTCCAAACTGTTACAGGACTTTAAAGAAATCCAAATGGTGTTAATTTCAGATATTTGTTAGTTATCATTTATTTCTCTGAGTAGTTAGTGGTAACTTTGTGCTCAGCAATCAGAGACCTGCAAGGCCTCTGACAGCAAACAGCCAGCGGGATGGAACAGCTTACAGCACGTACCTCTTGGGGTTCAGCACCAGCCTAGAAAAGCAGCTCTGACAAGCAGGATAAATGAAGCAGGAGTTCTGGACAGAAATTACAGAGGCAGCCAGGAGTCTTCTCGCTTTGTTCATGTGCTCACAGAATCATCTGAAACAGCCAAGTCAAAATGTTTAATTACTTCTGGTTTTATGAAATGTTAATCAGAGAGTTCCAATGTTAGCTACCAAAATGTTCTCTACAGCTGATGTAAACACGGCTTTATAAATCCTTCTTTGAAAAAGCACATTTATTACAGTAATAGTTATTTATAATTCTCCTTTCGATGTATACTGCAGAACAAACCCAGAATAGGAAGTGAATTCCACTTCTTCACCCCATAACTCCCTCAGGGAAGTCGAGGGCTAAGGAGATAAAGGAGACTTGAATATGGCTTTTGTAAGTTAAAAGTTGTTTTATAATCAACACTGACATTGTGTTCATACTTTGCTACAAAATAGTTCAAGTCTTGGCCAATTCCTTGGCCCTTAGGGGCACTGTTCTCAGCATTCTGGTAAAAACAAGAACTGTAACACACATACTAGAAAAATGTGAGTGACTGAAGTCATTATTCTGAGTAGTTCAGAGGAAAAACAAAATCAGATAACCAAATATTCCCTATGCCAGAAAGGCCTGGAGAAAAAAAAAAATAAAATGCAATAAAAGGCAAAAGCTTTACTGGAGGGTCAACCAAAATGAAACATTTCTCTTCAGAACATAAATTAGCAGGAACTCATTTGACAGATTAAGTGGTGCCCATATTCAATTTGTGCTTAAATAGAACTCTTTTGTTTTACTTGCAGTACAAGACACCACCACACAGTATGAATAAAACACAGCAACACTGCATAAAGAAGTAATAAAAAGAAGTAACAGAAGCACCCCCAAAGGTGGATTTAGATCAATCAGCAGATGCTCCACATTCCAATTGCTTTTCAACTCAGAACTATATAAACAAAGCATGCTCCTACCTATCTGAACTTTTTATTGAAAGAACTAAAGAGATTCCTGAAAGTACAGCAAATATTTTAAGTATTCTGCTGAAAATTCGGAATTAAAGCATAGAAAAATTGTATTTATCCACGGGTTATGTTAGGAGACCACTTTAGAGCAAGGGGCTCAATCCCAGTAACGCTTTCTATGGTATAAATAACGTCCACCAGAAGGCTGGAAGCGAACACAGCCCAAACGCATAAGGTTTTCTGGCCTTTCATACTGTGAGAAAACTCTCAATAATTCTCTTCAGACAGGATCTTCCGTGAAGCTATTTTATTTGCGATTGTAATGCCGAGCGTCCTGTCAATCAGGAGCATATTTTATGCAAACAAATCATAACCTTTTATTTCCTATTACCCAACACCTGATCACCTCCCCTCTTTCCTCACTGGCTGAGTACTATTTTTATTTTATTTAATATTTATTACTTTTAATATTGAGTATACTCAATGTTTTTCTATAACATATATGTACGTTTTTTCTCTTTAAATCATGCCTTTAATTTCTCCTTTTTCCCTGTTTTCATTTCTCGTTTCTTATGTTTTGAGAACTTGTGATCTTCATTATTTTTACTGTACTCCCGCTGCTCACCCTGTTTTCCTCTAGCTTCTACCTCATTTGGAACAGCGAGGCCTTCTATTGCCCACTCACCTACTGAGCACCTCTATTCGTTGTCACCGCACAGCTACATTTGCACACAGACGGGCAGTTTTCTACCACAAAAAAACGACCCCCAGCTCCTGCCCCCCCCCCCCCCCCCCCCCCCCCCCCCCGCCGCTCCTCACCGCCGCTTTCCACGGGCTCCCGCTGCCCCCTGGCGGCTCCCAGGGCTCGCACCGCTGCTTTTACCCCAGCGCAGCCGCCGCCTCCAGCTCCCAGAGGACACCAAGGGCCGGAGGGAGCCGGAGGGAGCCGGAGGGAGCCGGAGGGAGCCGGAGGGAGCCGGAGGGAGCCGGAGGGAGCCGGAGGGAGCCGGAGGGAGCCGGAGGGAGCCGGAGGGAGCCGGAGGGAGCCGGAGGGAGCCGGAGGGAGCCGGAGGGAGCCGGAGGGAGCCGGAGGGAGCCGCGGGGCTCCCCGCACCCCCCCCAGGCCCCCTACCCCCCGCCGCGGGGGCCCCGGCCCGGTCCCCGCCGCCTCAGGGCCTGGCGCGGCCCCTGAGGAGAAGGCGGAAGTGCGGGTGGTTGCCAAGGGCCGTTGCTAAGGGCGGGGACGAGGAGGCGCTCAGCCAATGGCGGCGCAGAGCGGCGTGAGACCTCCCCCAGCTCCACCCAATGAAATGCGAGGATTGCCGACCGCACGCACCACCCAGCCCCTCCCACTTCACGCCCGCCACCGCGGCCGGCCAACCGCGAGAGGGCGCGCGCGCCGTCCGCGTTCATCTCAACCAATCGCAGCCGCCCAACCCCCTCAGTGCCCGCCCACCGAAGCGGAAACCCCTCCCCTTCCGGCACAGTCCCTCAGAGCGCCCCGCGCGGGGCGCAGGCGTGGACACACCCCTCCGCCGGCTCCTGCCGGCACCGGCAGGGGAGGGGGCGGTGGGGCCGCCATAAAGCGGCGGGGCGGCGGGCAGCACCTCAAGGCCTCGCCATGCCGCGCCTCCTCCTCCCCCTCCTGCTGCTTCTCCTTTTCCTCGGCCAGCTCAGTGCCTTACTGGCGCCCCGCCGCCGCCGGGGTGCCCCGCCGCCGTCTCCAGCCCCTTACCTGACGCGTTACCTCTCGCAGCAGGTAGGAGCTGCGGGTTTTGCAGTAAAATATCCCTTCCCTCCCTGCCCGGGCGCTGCTCTGGCTGAGGGGAAGCCTGGCGGGGCTTGGCAGAGGGCTGGGTCCTCAGCCGGGTCGTTTCCATGGGGATCGAGGGGTGTTTGCTGCTCTTCAGTGCCTAATCTAGCTAATTAGCGTGTTTTTGTAGCTTTCTGGGTGCTGCGGTGCTGAATTCCTCAGGTAAGGTTCTTGTGTGTTCCTACTGTAGGCGAAGCAGCTGGCTGCAGCCACAAGGTGCCTGCCCTGCTGTGGCTTGGTCAGCTGCACCTCCAGTGATACCTGCATACACCCCCTGGGTGATTTGTTTCTTTAAAATGGAAATCTGATTCTTGTTACTAACCTCAGCTTTATTTTGCTGGTGGTTCGAACTCAATGTGTTTGTGAAATCCTTAGCATGTGCACAGAGCAGAAGTCACTGTGATTTTTGATAACAAACGCTGGTGCAGTCCCCTTGCAGAAACCTCAAAAACATTTTTTTCCCCTTAAGTTTTCCCAAAGCAGTCACCAGTTTCTCCTGATGCGTCAGGGAAGGTTTGCACCTTGACCTTCGCTATCCCAGACTTTGTTGGGGAGGTAATGGATCCTCTTGCCTGGAGGTGTAGTGAGAGGAGAAGACGCTTCTGCCACTGTCTGGCTGTGGTTGGAGGCAGCATGCAGCCTGGTTCTGAGTCTCGTGCCTTGGTCTAAACGGGAGAGCTGTGGGAGGGAGATATTTAATGCACAGGCACCACATCTTGTGTGGTGGCGTGGGGATTGAACATCTCAGTGTTGGAGATGGTGAACTCTTCATGGGAAGATGAAAATGGGAGGGATATGCTTTCAGAGAGAACAGAGTTGAAGAAAACAGGTAAGCTGCGTAAGGTCATCCTGAATTAGATACAAGATAATTTTAGAGTCAAAGTTCTCCTCGTTAGAGTTGAGAGGTGAGTGTGGTGCATTTAAGGGTGCATCCATGCACTGAGATTATACTGCTGTGGTCTGTTTCTGCTTGTGAGTGGTCTTCTTCCAGGGGTCTGCCTGTAAAACCTATGGAATTCCTGAGGGTTGAGAACATCTCCACCTAATGAACACTTTCAAGTTGCTCAGGGAGCGATTGGAGGCTTGAGTCCCTTCACCAGCTCTCCTGCTAGCCCTTTACCTCATACTGCAGATGCCTTCTGCAGTGCGTGTTGGTGTTGGCCAGGATATCAGCTCTGTGGTGTATCTCGCTGTGTGACACCCAGTTGTAGCACACTGGCTGTTACGCATTGCTGCCATCATATCAGCGGTAGTCATCCTATGGCCTGATCCGCCCTCTGTCACCATGTTCACACCTCTGTCCTCATCCCATTTTGGAGTTGTCTCCTTTTGGAGCTGCCATGTGCCTGGGATCTGTGGATTTGGGGAGGTAAATACATTTTGAGAGGAGGGAAGGGGAAATCCCAGTGGCACTGTTGTAAAGGTGATGCCAGATCTCGATCCCTTCAACCTCATCCTTGTTTTTCTTCTTCCCTTACCTTAAGCAAATCCTGTTGGCTGTGAGTACCTGCTGTGGCAATTGGATCCTGCTGACAGGTTCTGAAATCCTCGACTTTGCTGCCCAAAGGCTTACAAATATCACAGCACATGGTGGGAGATGTGTGCCTATTCACGTTTTGGGTGTTTGGGTGTTTTCCTATCATCAGATTTGGATGTTGTTGCCAGTCACCTGAAAGATGTAGGGCTAGCATAAAAGGTCTAATCACATGGAGGCGTAAAACTTTTTTTATCAGTGGCACGGCGTGCAGAACTAACAGGCAGCTCTCCAGCCTTTATGAAACGTGTGCTGAGCACAGCTGTCTGGGAATTTGTAATTACATTATGATTCTGTAGTGGAACATAAATACTGTGATTACCATATTAAATAGGGGTGGTGATACTCTGCCACCTCTGAGGGCTGATGATGTTTGTTTACATGAAAGTTGCTTAGGGCTTGAATCATCAGCCTCTGTTCTTCCATAGTTAAAGTTGCTGTTTTGATTATAGCTTTTCTGTTATCGGTTTATATAAAAATAAACAATATAAAAATGTTTTTGCAATATGGCAAACTATTATGTTGTCACAAAGGAAACATTTACACTTCTGTTAAAAAGCAAAATTATTTGAATAGTCTTTAAATATTCAATATTTTCATGAAAGACAATTTTTAAAAGTCTATCTAGATAGCTTGCATGAATCCTGTTGCTTAGCAAGTTACCTCTTGAGCACTGTGAACAGTTCATTAACATTGTACACTACAGAACAGAATTGCAAAAGCTGGAAATTGCCTTGTGGAGTTACAGTTTCTAATCAGAGCTGCTTGGCGTGGAAGCCTGGAGACCTAGGACATTGCTTGAGGGGTCAGCGTCAGCACTTACTGATGTCTGAGTCTGTGATGAGTCTGGTATGTGTCTGCTTTCAGAAAAACGGGGGAGAAACAGGGTCAGAGTTCAGCTTGAGAGTAGTTTAGGCTAAACTTCCTTCTGTTTGCCACTTTAAATGTCTGACACCCCTGACAGCAGGGCTAAAGTCTAGAACGGGAGAAATAAGTCACACGATGCCCATGTCAGTGTGACTGGGACCTCAGCTTGCGTGTCAGATGTACTGAACTGTTTGTCCTTGGTGTTCCGTATTATTTTGGCTTGGGGGTGTGACTTTTTTCCCCTTCAGTAAGTAAAGGTTGCCTTTAAGCTCTCTACTTCTCCAATGCGTGAGTGACATTACCTGATCCAAAGGTACCTGATGCTGCCATGGGCTGGTACACAGCCCTTGGAGGAGGAACTGCCATCACCCACATCTTTATACCAGCAAACCATACCTGTCACGGGGGAGTTAGTCACCTTTTTAGCTCTTGTGATTGACTGGTGTGACTTCTGTAGACAAGATGGTGCTTGCTTCTGCTTTCGTATCTTGGTCTCAGAATTGAGGCGTGTGTGTTAAATCAATCCATGTAAAACTGACCTTCACTGAGAGGTGTGTAGGATGTATGGAGCTGCAAGCACAAGACTGCTCTGAATGGCCTCTGTAAGCAGCTGTGTCAGTGACAACAATGACAACTAACAGAAAGGGCTTTGAGGCACCTGAGGGCTGTCTCCTCTTTACCCAAGTAGAAATAATCCCACAGTGGGGAGTGTCTGGAGTCAGGCTGCTTTTTTCTGACCTTTAGGGAGCCTTGTCTTGCATCTGCATCATTTCTGTCTTCAATCACTAGTGTTGGGGGGAAAACAACAACAAAAAATTTGTTGCTCTAAATGCAGAGCTGCATTAAAGGCGTCTCGGTGATAGCCTGCCTCCTCAGAAAACAGTGATGTCTCTTCACTCCGTATGATAATTGGTGGTTGTGCAAGACTTAATGTGGTGGTGGGGCTCTTCTGCACAATCCTACTTTGTGTGCACGTCACTCACTCTGTAAACAGTTGTGAATTGGTCTAAGAACCAGTGACCGTGTACAAATAAACTCTTGTTCAGCGAGTTCCTGAGCATGGTCCTTCAACTGATTATCTTTGGAACTAACACGTCAGTGATGTGGCCATTTCCAGAAGATGAGCTCTGGTTGCTTTTAATCACTTTCTAGATGTCATACACATATCACTATGTCATAGCTTAGCAAACTCATATGCAAGTCTCTGTGCTCTAAAACTTATCCGTGCTTCACATTGTGTATATGTAAAAGGAAGCTCCTAAAGTTTGAGAAGTAATGCAGTTTGATTTCTTCTAGCTCTATCATGTTTCTTTAATGCCCTATTTTGTGTTACAGACTGAAGTTTTGAGGCATAGAAAATGAAAGCTTTGATTGAAGGTGCAAAAATCAGAAGCAAATTTAGGAAGTGTGTGAAAGCTTGAATGCAAATTTTCAGGTAAGAAAATAAAAGTTGAGAAGGACAGCAACAGGCAAAAGAATACCTGCCAGCGAAGGAAGAAGACCTGATGCGGTCCTTTCTGTTTTATGGGAAGGACCAATTTAGGGGAAACCTGTGAATCCTAGAATTTTCCTGCTCTGAATATCAGTGCTACAGCAAAAAAAAAAAAAGGCCTTCAGGTAACTGTATGAATGAGCAGTGTAAGGGAAGTGAGGTCAAGAGACTGGATCACCTCTCTGACAGTGCTATCTTGATTGAATCCAAACCAAAGGTGCAGTTTTGCATTGAATGTTGCATCTGCTGTATCTGCAAGAAGGAAGCTTACAATTAAGGAACAAACTATCTTTTAATCCAGTTTAATACAGTCTTTTAAAGTTTTTTTAATATTGTGTGCAAATGAGTGGCATGAAGTATATTCATACGTACATATACTGGTGCTGTACAAGTTGCTGTAATGCTAATGGAGTAATTTTTAACTTTAGGCCTCAAATTTCCTTATAAAGCTGATTTCAATCTGGTTTAATAGCTTTAATTGTGGTAAGTAAATTTTTCAGCAGTTTATGGTGACTCAGGGTGGTGTCTCAGAATAGTAACACATGGCAGGAATGGTTAAGAAGGGTTTGTTTTTCCAGTCTGGCAACACAATGCAAGAGCACCTTCCACTTCTGGTGAAGGAAAAAACAAAGTGCTTTTTACGTGGCCCCTTGGTACCCATTAGTAGTTATGTCAGTGGTCAGAGAAGTGATGCTGATGTTTGTCTTTGAGGTGAATTACTTGGCGTATATGTTTTACTCATCAAGGAGTTCAAGAGCACTTGGCAGCTCTTGCTCTGTGATATCATAGTGTGATTTAAAACACGAGCTGTAAGCTATAAACCAGCTCTATAAGCAAAACAATAGCTCTTATTCAGTGGACAGGAAAGCAGGGAAGTACTTGTTAAAGCTCGTCAGTGCATTTTTATTTTTATGCACTGCTTATCTGTGGGTCACAATGCAGGCATCAGCTTCTCAAATTAAGCAGGAAACACTTAATTTCCTCACAACTTGCAGTCTCTTCCTTTGAGTGAGAAGTTAATTCTGAAGGCTACGAAAAGCATCAATAATCACT